TGTGAAACGGATATGGGGAGAACAAAGAGCATTCAAGAATTACCACTTAGTAACGCATTTTTCTCAAAATCAAAGTCAGCTCGGTCTACATGTTTTGCTCATTGATTGTTGCTCTGTGTCCGATACTATACATTCATCTATTTTGTATAAAATGATAAAATGATTCGATGAAGAAACAAACTTTGTAGTAGATTAAGACAGTGAATAAAAATTATTTTCTGATTGTCAAGCAGTACCTTTAAAAGAGGATCTATACTAAATATTTACATACAGAAAAAAATATGCGATGTTATAGCAGTTTCATGATACTGACTGACTACTTTATGGAAGTGTTTTTCTCTGTAAATAGCATATATAATCTCGCCAAAAGAAAATCCTATTGTGGTGTATGCTATTTATGTTGACAAACATATGTAGTATGTAACATCGATTGAAAGTTGGAGACCCGGTAGTAGAAGGTTGGGATGATCGAATCGAAGATAACAGGAACAGAGAGTAATTGGTATGGCAATGAAGGAAAAATGAAGCTTGAGACAGTTGATGGAAGATTTGCAAATGAAGCGCTGAGTGTGTGGTTTTCATATCTGATGATGATGTACGAATATTATAATTTATGATTTATATGATTCATAGTTGTGTTCATGAACTACAAACTTTCAGTTTTGCAAAGCAAAGACTTACTCATGTCATTTCCTGCCTCAAAAAGGTTTCAGGGAATAGCTAAATGATGATTTATATTCAGAAAGATTGAATATTTTGAAAAAAGGAACAAAAATTGCAAACAGTATGCTATAATATTATCAATAACTTGACGCGCCATATAGATGATCTGATTTTAGAAACAATGAGTACATTTACATACAAAAGTTGTGGTATTTGTATAACGGGATGTTTCATTTGAAAAACCAATTGCTGATTAACTATTATTCATGCCAAAGTGTTATACTTTCAATTTAACCAGACTTTAGTGTTATATTTAAGAAAATGAAGACGAAAAATAGAGAAAAGTCCCATGCCAGCCTTTACAAACCATAGTTAATTTTACACAAATCACTCAAAAGTGTCCATTAATTTTAATTTGTTTTAACCTACATATTCTGATCCTTTCTATAGTAACTTACTTAATTGCGCCTGTTACCCCTCGTCGAGGAGCATAGGTCGCTCACCAGCGTTCTCCATCCAACTCTGTCCTGAGCCTTCCTTTCCAGTTCTTTCCAGTTGCTGTTCATCCTTTTCATATCTGCTTCTATTTCCCGGCGTAGTGTGTTCTTTGGCCTTCCTCTTTTCCGCTTCCCTTCCGGATTCCAAGTTAGGGATTGAGTCGTGATGCACATTGGTGATTTCCTTAATGTATGTCCTATCCACTTCCAACGTCTTTTCCTAATTTCCTCTTCAGCTTAAAGCTGGTTTGTCCTCTCCCATAAAACACTGTTGCTGATAGCATCCGGTCAGTGGATGTTGAGTATTTTGCGTAGACAACTGTTTAGAAATACTTGTACCTTCTTCACGATGGATGTAGTAGTTCTCCACGTTTCAGCTCCGTACACTAGGACTGTCTTGACGTTCGTATCGGAGATTCTGACTTTGAAATTAGTTGACAGTTGTTTTGAGTTCTTCAATTGTAGAAATGCAGTCCTTGCTTTGTCAATCCTCGCTTTTACATCTGCATCAAATCCTCCGTGTTCATCAATGACGCGTCCTAGCTACGTGAATGTTTCTACATGTTCCTGAGTTTCGTCATCAGGTGTGATTGGGTTGGTGTTCTCCGTGTTGTATTTGATAATCTTGCTTTTTCCTTCGTGTATGTTGAGGCCTATTGATGCAGAGCGTGCTGCTACATTTGTTGTCTTCGTCTGTGTTTGTTCGTGTGTATGAGACAGGCGGGCTAGGTCATCTACGAAGTCCAAATCGTTTAATTGATTCTGAGATGTCCATTGTTCTCCGAGCTTCGTGTCAGATGTCGAGGTCTTTATGATCCAGTCAATCACCAGAAAAAAGAGGAAGAGTGAGAGTAGAGAGCCTTGCCCTAATGCAGATGCATCTGTCAGCTGTCCTCTATGCAGCACTTTGCACTGTAGTCCGTCGTATGAATTCCGGATGATGTTAAAGATTTTCTTAGGTACTGAAACCTCAGTGTCAAAGAAGTTTCTATAATGTTCTCTGGTCCACACTGTCAAACGCCTTCTCATAGTCAATGAAGTTGATGTATAGTGACGAGTTTCACTCAACTGATTGTTCCACGATGATCCGTAGTGTCGCAATCTGGTCTGTGCACGACCTGTCCTTACGGAATGCAGCCTGTCGAACTCGAAGTCGAGCGTCTAATGCATTTTTCATCCGGTTGAGCGACACTCGGTTGAAAACTTTTCCTGGTACTGACAACAAACTGATGCCTCTGTAATTCTCACATTTGCTCAGATCTCCTTTCTTTGGTATCTTGATGAGATATTCTTCTTTTCAGTCCGTTGGCACTTGTTCGTCTTCCCAAATCTTCTTGAATAGAAAGTGAAGCTTGTTTGCTGTTACTTCTATGTCTGACTTCAGTGCTTCAGCTGGTATATTGTCAGGTCATACCGCCTTCCCACTTTTTATTTGTCTGATGGCCATCTTGACTTCTTCGATTGTTGGTGGAGTGACATCTATAGGAAGGTCAGTGTGTCCTGCTTCGATGTTCGGTGGATTCAATGGGGCTGGTCTATTCAGCAGTTCCTCGAAGTATTCTGCCCATCTTTTCTTCTGTTCTTGAATCTCAGTGATTGTCTTTCCTTCTTTGTCCTTGACTGGTCTCTCTGGTTTGCTAAATCTCCCTGCCAGTTTCGTCGTTGTATCATATAGTCGTTTTATATTCCCTTCTCTTGCAGCTTTTTCCGCCATCGTTGCTAGTTCTCTCATGTATTTCTGCTTGTCGGACTTAATGCTCTTCTTCGTTTTCTTGTTTGCTTCTGTGTAGTCTGCTTGTGCTTTGACTTCCTCTGCTCGTGTTCGGCTGTTGTTAATTGCTATCTTCTTGTTTCTTCTTTCTTGAGTTTTGTCCAGGGTTCCCATAGAGATCCATTCCTTATGATGATGCTTCTTAGGACCAAGAACCTCCTAACACGTTGAAGTTAGGGCTTCTTTTATCCCTTTCCAGTTGTCCTCCGAAGTAGTTTCTTGTTCCTTCAGTAGATCCTGTAGAGCTTGGAACCTGTTGTTGAGAGTTATCTTGAATTCATTGAGCTTGTCAGTATCTCGAAGGAAGGCTGTATTGAACCTTTGTAGTGCTGTTTGTCCATTGTTCCTTTAGCTTCAGTCTCATCTTGGCCTCAACCAAGTGGTGAACTGAAGCTATGTCAGCTCCTCTCCGGGTTCTCACATCTTCCACTGACCTACGGAATTTTTTGTTGATACAGATGTGATCTATCTGGTTCTCTGTGGTGTGGTCCGGTGAGATCCATGTAGCTTTGTGTATGCGCTTGTGTGCGAATATTGTGTCGCCTATAACGAATTTTTTGAATGCGCATAGGTTTGCAAGTCTCTCCCCATTTTCATTTCTCTCTCCTAGTCCATGTCGTCCAATTATATCTTCATATCCTGTGTTGTCCACTCCAACTTTAGCATTTAGATCTCCCATCAGGATGGTGAGGTCCTTTCGTGAGCACTTCGCTATAATTGATTGCAGCCTTTCATAGAACTGATCTTTATCATCGTCGTCGCTATCATTGGCGGGTGCATAACATTGGATAACGTTCATTGTGATCCCTTGCTTCTTTGTTCTGAATGATGCTTTGATTATCCTGGGTCCATGAGATTCCCATACTACAAGTGCATTTCGTGCTTCTTTGGACAGCATTAGAACAACTCCCTGAGTGTGTGGAGCATTTTCCCCTTCGTGACCGGAGTACAGCAGCATCTCTCCTGTACCTAGCCTTTGTTGTCCAGTTTGTGTCCAATGGGTTTCGCTGATTCCGAGTACTGCCAATTTGTATCTCCTCATTTTCATTGCTATTTGGCTGACCTTCCCGGTTTCCCACATTGTCCGGACGTTTCATGTACTTATGTTGATTGTTGCTCTGGTTGTTAGAAGGTGCTTTGGTCTCGTGACTTCCGAAGAATTTCGGCTTTCATTATGAGACGTCATAATTATTCCTTCAACTTCCAGGGCATACTTTAAATGGTTTGAATTATTTTTTTAGTTAGCCCCATACCCAACCCTCCTCCTCTAACCGGGCTTTGAACCGGCAGAAACTCTAGAAGAGCTACAGGCGGAGTTCCTCTTTATAGTAATCTCAATGAAATAATTATGAGGAAATCTTACTCAAAACATGACACATTTAATTATGGAATTATATTAAATTAGGTTTGAATAAACAACAAAAGGGATTGAAGTCTAGTTTTGTTTAATTAAATTCTGCAGTTAAAATAAGTCTTTCATGAAAACCATAGCTCTCCATTAACTGAGTAAAAGGCAGAATAATTAATTCATTGGTTTATATGGCAAATATTTGAACAAAAACTTATAACGATAAGAGTTTCCCTAAATGTAATAATAGTCGATAAAAAAAACCCAATTATCCGTTACTCCTGTTTACATAAACAATAATAAAGGTCTAGCTTCAATCGACTCATGATTTCAACTTTGAAAAATACCGAAATCTCCACATAACCCCTTCTGATAATAATAAAGATTGTTTTGTTCTAAAGATCTACAAAAGAGAATATGTAGGTAAACCAAAGGGTCGTTCAATAATTTATATTCGGTTCTATGGATTGTTATTATTTACTATGAATATACAATTCAAAGATCAAAGTGAACATAATAAATAAACATAAATGAAATATCAATATTATTGTTATTGTCAAAAATAGTAGACGATTAGAAAAAGGGGGAATATTTTTTTATCTCAATTTTACAAATATTATTCGGAATAGGAAAAATGTCATATCAACCAAAATGGAAATATAAGGAATGTGATTTTGTGTGTGGACTATATAAAGAGAAAGTATTGTAGGTAATCACAGAACACAAATTCAATTCAAAACTACAATGCATGTAAGTTTATAATTAATAGCATTGATACCATATACACTAGAGTAGAATATACCTTTCTCGAGATTTGAAATACTTCTCTTTCTTATGATTTAACACAGATGTGTCACACAAAATTCTTGATTTATCTTTTGACATAATAGTTGCTTACCATACTCATGTGTTTTAGTTCTTGTTCTAATAAATTTTGCTCTTGTTCTGCTCGTAACATAAAATATTAACTTTCGCAGATTAGATACCTTCCAAATCTTGGTAGATACTATAAGCAAAAGTGGATGGTGACTAGTGATAAAATCCAGGACTCACGTTTCATTCTATTTGGGAATCATCACCTGGATGTACTTGAATGCCAGAGTTGATGTTCATTCCGGTACTTAAACCCATTACAATTCGCTACAACATAGTGGATAATGCCAAACCATAAAAACCAATTCATTACATTATTTATGAGTGTCAAAATTCTTTTTCATACTCTCATAATGAACATATTACTTGTCTTTATTTATGTTTAATTTTAGATTAAATTTTTAGTCGCACTTTTTTTAATCACCATTAACGTGATTTATTCACAGAAGACACAAGGTAAGTAGTAATAAGTAGTATTTTGTTATTCTCAATAATGTTTAGTGATTTTTAACTTTTACCATATAATATTATTATCTTAATGGGTTTACTTTTCTTTGACTACTCTCTTAATATACTTTTTATTCTCAGAATATTATCCTTATTAATTTTAGTCAAGTTGTAATTTGGATTGCTTAAATACTGATACCTATTTGTTAAACTAAAATCATGTTTTAATATCTTAATGTATTAGATTGTAACAGGATAATACTAGTTTAAATGATGTTGAAATGTATTTACATTTTCATAATTAAACTAGATAGACTTCATTTCAATCAAATGTTATTCTTCTATAACTTAGAATGCATAACTGTTAAATCTTATATCATTTAAAACATTTTCATTTAGTTTACTTAAATGTTAAATAAATAATCATTATGGAAAGCTTGAGTATATTTAGAAGGGGTTTTGTGGAGATTTTAGTAGTTTCATTAGTTGAAATCGTCAGTCAATTGAAGCTAGACCACTATGGAGTACATTTATCATTTTTCATCATTTATCACTGAAATACATAACCACATTAGATTTATTTACCTTTTGGCGTTTATTTAATATAAACAATAGAAACTATCTACGATACAGATGAATGTTTTCGGTAGCATTCTGTACTCTATGTTCTATGATTTAATAGTGCAGTTTTCCGCAAAGGGATCTCTTTTCAACGAATTTATTATCAAGCTGTACAATCGTATATATATGGAAATGTTTTGTTAAAGTACGAATTCCGTAGGGAAATATGAACACAAATAACTAGGATGACGTAATAAAAATGTTATTATACTAGATTACGTAATACGAGTAATAACAATAGATTTAATGCATATAAGATGATTAAAATGAATAAAATGTTTTTGTTACAATAATTAAAAGTCACGATTGTACAGCTTTATAATAAATTCATTGAAAAAAGATCCCTTTGCTGAACTTCATGTTTTTAATTTTAATCTTTAATTGGGCATTATATGTCAAGTATAGTTTTCGTTTGTTATTCTGGACAATATCTTCACCCCCTTCCTACTTCATACAAGTTAATAATTATACATTGAATATTAATAACTGAGAAAAACATTTCTAATTATTTAAATTAAACAATTTTTTTTTCTATATTAATCAGATAAATCAAAAAATGAGAAAAAGGAATTAGAAGAAATAAAAAAAACACCACAATATCAACAAGTTAGAACAAAAGTTATCAATGCATTATCAGATAAAATTGATAATTATGTATTGGATCAAATAAGAAAAAAACAATAAACATTAATTCCAAATAATCAACCCCCCTCCATAATTTGTTAAATTCCATTCGTATAATTTAAAAAAGTTTGTTTTTATTCTTTCATGTTGTAAACAAAAAAAAACTTTCTTATCTTGTTATTTTACTCTGTTTAATATTTTTAGAAACATTTGTAATACCATGAAAATAGGAAATAGTCATTGGTTTAATCAGTAAATAAAACAGTAATATATACATATTTGTTTGTTTTCTTATAAAGTTTTTGAAAGTGTTAACTGTAGTAGAGTGTCAGTAGTTTAATTGACTTTTAAACTTAATGGTTATTTTCAGAAGAGGGTTTTGTGGAGATTTTAGTAATTTTTTTAATATAGTTGAGATCATGAGTCAATTGAAACTAGACTACCATGGAAAACCTGGAAGCAGTGGAAGGCCGTTTCGTCCTAGTGTCCTGGGTTTGAATCTCGCTTGGGCGGCATCATGGATGCGCACTTCTGAGGAGTCCCACAATAGGACGAAATGGCCGTCCAGTGCTTCCAGGTTTTCCATGGTGGACTAGCTTCACTTGACTTATGATCTCAACCATATAAAAAAAATTAATAGTTATTTCTTTATAAGGCCAGACTCAAATAAACATGTTAATTGAATTAGTAAATCCAGTTTGTATTGAAATAATATATAATGTCAACATGATTTTCAATTATAAATAAATAGATTAATATATTTGTAATATCCCAATGAGTAGAAAAAATAGATTTTCTGACGTTTCGTGACTCAGTGTAAGTCGCTTCTTCAGAGAATAAATAATTCTCAATTGTTTATTATTGATATTTTCCAATAGAAAATCAACTTCTTTTGTTGACATAAGGGTCTAATAAGTTGATACCTTCAAAAAATCAGAAACGAATAATTTCTATTTTTTTAAAGAAATGTTTAACGGTTGTAATTTCATCAGGTAAGTGGATCAATTTTTTGCGTTATAAATAGTGAGTATTAGTTTCGAATGTCAATGAAATAACTAAACTATCACAGGAATACAAATGTTTTCTGTTGGCAACTACCTAAAAGAGCTGTTTGTAAGCTCTGAATTACATTAATAAATCAAAATTAAATAAGTTCATGAGCTTACGTCATGCCAATAAACTTTTACAGTTTAATATTAGAATCGAAGATAAAAATAATGTGGTTTGAAAATCTGATAAAATGTGATTTCTAATTTAGTTGTTTATCCAGCAGTCAGCTAGCAAATCGCATTAACTAATATCAGATGGTTTGATTTGAAATAGTACTTTAACACGATTATTTACAGTTACGCATTAACAAACTTTTGCAGAAGATATATAAGGATTCTTATTATGAACAATGGACCGTCGTGCATTATCGACGACTTTATAGTGATATATAGGTAGGATTTTTAAAGCGATAAAGCATTACATTGCTATTTTACCTCTTCAAATGTAATATTATGTAGGTGCAGTAAATCTCAAATCTATTACTCATCAATGTCATTAGTCATATTGATTGAGAAAGTGATTGTAAAATTGAATAAACTTGGGTGAAAACGGCTAATTGTAAAGAAGACACTGAGGATTATGGACTTAGGGTTGATAGATATGTAAAAAAGACAAAATTTAGGGACATAATATATCTTAGATTGATGTTCAAGAGGATTATGTGTATTTAAAAAATCTTCACGAATTAGCATTTATTTAACATACTTAATTAGATTCTTAAACAAAACCATCAGATATGTAACCAAATTTAGGTTTTAAAAGGTCAAGTAGTTTATTTGAGAAACACAAGGTGGTTATTATGACAGCGAAAATTCATCCTACGTGTTGAAACACAACTAAAAATTGTTACTACAAAGCTACTGGTTGTTATTAATGACAAAAAGTATTCGCATGTGAAAAAATAGTACAATTGGCTTGTTATTTATACTAGTTAGAGTGTAAATGACCTAGTTTTTGAAGTTTTGTTAGCATTTATCAAGTATTTCAAAGTCATTTTCTATTCATTTCAATTTATATGTAAAGTTTAACATCATTTCGACAGCCATATATATATATATATATATATATATATATATATATATATATATATATATACTTACGTCTGTTACTCCCAATGAAGCATAGGCCTCCGACCAGCATTCTCCAACCCAATATATATATATATATATATATATATATATATATATATTCATTTAGGCTTCATTGGCTTAAATAACTCTACTAAAAATCACATTTGGAATTAAGTGTTAATTACTATAAACTAACTTGAATGTTTAAATGAAAGTTTATTAAAACTATTACTTTTTAATTTAAATTTTACGCACATGATTCATAAGCTAAGTTACTGTAACTTTTCTAAACATTCAAAACTTATTCATAATAACATAATTCGAACTATGTGACACTACATGATTTGCCATCAAATAATATCTGAAAGTATCAAAATATGGATATGAAAAAAATTTGAGCGATTTGTTAAGTATTTTCATAGTTAAAAGCGTGAGTCAATTGAAGCTAGAATACCAGGGAAAACCTGGAAGCACTGGACGGCCATTTCGTCTTATTGTGGGACTCCTCAGCAGTGCGCATCCACGACCTCGCCTCGTGAGATTCCAAACCTGGACCTACCAGTCTCGTGCCAGAGCACTTAGCCGATAGACCACTGAACTGGCATCCGATGGTGTTTATGTCTAGCTCCAACCAATCCACGAAGTTGAGCAGCCGTTTACTAATTGTCTTCAGTGAGTTAATATCTCACAACAGACCTGGTTTGGACTCCACTAAGGAGTCTCGCAATAGGACGAAACGGCCGTCCAGTGCTTCCAGCATTTCCCTAGTGGTCCACCTTCAATTCACTCACGCTTTCAACTATGAAAACACTAAATCTCCACAAAAACCCCTTCTGATAATAATTTGTTAAGTGTTTATTATTGTTATATAATCAGCTTCATGGATAATTATTTGACGTAACTGAAGTAAACTGTTTTTAGATTTGAAGTTTCTTATCTAATAACTGATTAATTACGCATAATTTTTGGTATCCAATACAAATTCACAATAAATAGTCTCCTAATAACAGTTTTTTGTCAGTTTCAATCCATAAGTCATTTAATTAAGCAGAGTTGGTTACAAATCTCAAATGTTTGTGTAAAACAAGTTATTAAGATTTTCAAAATTTGGAAAATGCCCATATTGTGATTTAGAACAACAAATATAAGCGAACAATATTGTTTTCGATTAGATCCTCATCAGGCTTTACTGTAATATACAGTAATATTTATATGCATATACGAAATTAGTAAACCAATCATGGCATTTTATGAGTCAATGATAACAGTGGAATAGATTGTATAACTAAACATAATAACTGAAAGTACGAATTGGTAGTGTGATGACAAGTGTACCAGCTGTGACAAGAATAATAAGGGCTTGAATCAATTTTACATAATGGGAAATGATTAGAAAAATATAGACACTGAAATAACATTCATTAAAATAACAAGATTATGCAATAAAAAATGTTAAGATACTTGGACCGTGGAAGGTATATTTGAAAAAACAAATAAATAATTGGTAGAAGGGGGTGAAGAAAAATAATAATAAACGAAGAAAGAGTATGGAAAATAAAATTATTTATTAAGGCCAAGAGAGAGATAAGGGTGTAACAAATTTCTTATATGCATATAAATATTACTGTATATTAGAGTAAATCCTGATGAGGATCTAATCGAAAACAATATTGTTCGCTTATATATGTTGTTATCAAGATTTTATCAAACTAATGAAACTGACAAATTGATTTTAAAAAAAACAACCAACAACCAAAAATGTCCTAATTTATCAGAAGATATTTACAAAGAAATACCATTGAAAAATTTGCATTTTCATAAATTAAAATTCCATATAAATAAAAAAATATATTATTGATTATTTAAATGAGAGACTGATAAACTACTCATTTACTATTAGGTAGTATCCAAAAATATTTTAAAAAAACATTGGATGACCTAGTTATATCAAGCAGATAAATGTTAAATATAGAATAAAACACATGCCTATATTATAATAATTTTCAAACGGTAATAAAATTTTAATATTTTAATGAAAAATAAACAAACAAACAATTATTGACATGAGATATGAATTATTAGTTTATTATTATTAGTTTAATTGCCCCCCTAAATAGGTTTATTGATTTTTACGAAATTGTTCCAGAACAAATTTATCAATTCTATCTGATAATGAATCTATAACTTTTTCTTTGGCTTTTTGAAATTCTTTTGTTGCTTTTATTTCTTCAAATTTTTGTAATTCTTCTTCAGAAAGACCTGGATTATGTAGAAAACATAATTTATCATATAAACAGCAATTAAACAGATTAGTTAAATAAAAAAACAACCTATAACAATTATTGTTCACATTCAGATTTTAAGTGCGCTACTCGACTATGTGTCTAGTCTAGTGTCAGGAGTGGGATTCGAACCCACGCCCAAAGAGTGCACTGCGACCTGAACGCAGCGCTTCGGACAGCTCGGCGAGGCCTCATGATGTGCGCACTTGACTATATGTAGATGCTAAACGTATATTGACTTTTTTAGATATACAAAATAAGTTAGTTAAACAATAATACGTTTCGGTGTACGATATTCATGATCACGCTAATCAAGCGACATTTCAGTAAATGACAAGATTTGGAGAAAATAACGTGGATCATAGGACCAGATTCCATTGGGATTAGATAAATATTGGTGATTAGCGATTTAGAAGGACTAATCAAAATTGAAATATTTCAACCAAAATTAACTTCTAGCACTATGTGTTGATATTTACCAAGTGGAAAAAACAACTGACAACAGTGGAACTACCATTCTTATGTCAATAGCTTTACGTTCAACTAATAACCATAAAACGTTTCCTCACAAATTCTTGATTAATCAATGTCAAGATACGGAATTTTCAACACAATAACCAATTCACGATCACACAATTATTCATTGCATCACATTGTCTCTTCATATTATCAGAAACAGATGATTCATTTTACATGTTTATTTGTAGAAACAAGTTATCAAGTCGAAGTGAACGAATCCAAATTAATGATGAACAACGATAGTCGATTCACAGTTGCTTGATGAACATATATTCGAAACAATTCATCGAAATCTTAAAGATTAGTTGGAGAAAGCTTATTTTTCATTCAACATCAAAAGACATGCTGAATCCAGAGTGTCTGACATATCAGTAACTCATGTTTGTACTACGGAGTTGGTGTGATTGTGACAAATCATAGTGGCGAAACACTGAAAAATGTTATGCATAGTTGTTCATCACTACACTGTACATTGTGACTGAACTACAATACAGGTATTTGAGATACTATTACAGTCAATGTATAGGGGAGCATGCATATCTTATACTTATCGTGTTCGCTATGGAATGAGTGTTAGTGAGATTTGAAATGATCTGAGAAATTAACATATCATTATGATGTATAGGTTTATGTAAAGTTTATTTGCTTGTGATTCAATAGTCGACAGATAAATTTATCTTAACAGTTGAATTCATGAGTCGATCTAAACTAGACCACCATTGAAAACCTGAAAGTACTCGATGTCCGTTTCGTGCTAGTGTAGGTCTCCTCAGCAGTACTATTCCATGATCCCGCACACGGGACTTGAACCCAGGTTCTCCGATTTCGTGCACGAATGCTTAACCCATAGACTACTGAGCTGCCTGGCATCCTGTGGCATTAATGTCTAACTTCAATCTGTCATCCAAGGGTTCCAGGCTTTTAATGGTGGTCTAGCTTACATCAACTCATGAATTCAATCATTACAATTATTACAATCTCCACAAATCTCTAATCAGACAAATTTGTCACAAATTCTTGATTAATCAATGTCAAGATACGGAATTTTCAACACAATAACCAATTCACGATCACACAATTATTCATTGCATCACATTGTCTCTTCATATTATCAGAAACAGATGATTCATTTTACATGTTTATTTGTAGAAACAAGTTATCAAGTCGAAGTGAACGAATCCAAATTAATGATGAACAACGATAGTCGATTCACAGTTGCTTGATGAACATATATTCGAAACAATTCATCGAAATCTTAAAGATTAGTTGGAGAAAGCTTATTTTTCATTCAAAATCAAAAGACATACTGAATGCGGACTGTCTAACATATCAGTAACTCATGTTTGTACTTCAGAGTTGGTGTGATTGTGACAAATCATAGTGGCGAAACACTGAAAAATGTTATGCATAGTTGTTCATCACTACACTGTGCATTATCACTGACTACGATTCCCTAACTTAGTAATCAATTAGATAAGTGTTAGTATGCACAATAACAAGTGGATTCCATAGGAAATGTTTCCTACTATCGAAGTATCGAGTATGATGATAGTAATTTGTAATTAGAGTACCAGCAAGACACTTTTCCGTCCTTAACCCCTCCTTTTTCAACATGATTAATAGAAATAGAATTATTTTTAACTCACCGTGGTGGCCTTGAGATGAAATCGCATCCAGGGTTATCAGGAAAATGACGAACAGATATTGCATCTAAAATGAAATGTGAATAGGGATAGGTTCTGTGAGAAATGTGGCAACAAGATGAATTGTAATGGTGATGGATGGTGTAGTAATTTGTATGTCTCCACAGTGAGACATTTTTTTATGATGATGAAGTAACTTCGGGTGACAAGTGAATCAAATGGAAAATCTAAAGGCAGCATTTACAAGTATGAGAAGAAGAAGAAGATTGTAAAGAAGTACATTCAAATCGTGTCAGTTATCAAGTTAGTTCCTCATTTCTACATACACATCGCTAAATGTGGACTTACATGCATTGTGTTTGTTGACTGGAATCGTGTTCTGTTACGACGTGAAATTCTTTCACCTTATATAGTTTGAGTGATCCATTGTTAACACTTTCTCCATGTTTGTTGTTCAATGTCAATGAAATGTCATGAATCATTCTACTGAAATATTAAACTTTCTACTTTCAGTATTTTGTGAGATCAACATTATACTTAACTGTCATTTCATTTGTTTTATTGTCAAACCTGAAAATACTTGTCACAGTTAATGTTCTTCGATTTTTATATTTTGAATAATAAAACATATAGTAATAGGTGGACCTTAAAACTGAATAATAGTTCTTTTGTGAACTTTTGACTGACATGATATTCAATTGACGTTAATTAGGTTTCACACGACACATAGAAGTATGTTTGCATTTAAATTTATTCAGTTCCGGTTAATTTTCAAATAATAAGCCTAAATTATTATTACAATAACGAAATTACTAAATAAACCACTCTGTGGTTTTATCACCATAAAGTTATAGTTTCTGATTATCATGACGGCGTTACGTTTATTCTACCAAAATTTATACTATTTAATATGTTGTCACCATAATCCTTTTAATTGTCTTCTCATCAATTTAAGTATTGAGCTCCACAATAATTGTCCAAATATGCAGTTTCATTGACGAGTGAAATATTAGTTGTGGTACAAAGTTGTTTAGATCAGTGACGTAATTTTAGGGATGTTTAATTATTAATATTAGATTACAGTTTTTTTTAAGTCATTGTATGATGATAAAATACTTCGGTCATTATTAGAAAGTCTGAGTATTTCATGACTATATGTGATGTTTAAATAAATCAATGACTTCTTAGTATTGATGACTGTTGTAATTTTGAATTCAAAATACAATACATTCGTTCGAGTTCATCTGATACTTCTTGGTTAAATTGCGTTATTCCTGGGATTACTAGTTCATACTACAATTCAAATAATTCTAATTATCATATTGGCGTCGCGATGGAGCCTGCGATACAACAGTTGGACATTCATTCAACTTCTGAAGCTTGTGAGGATTACCTTGAAAGGTTTGAGATATGGAGCATGACCAAGAAAGATATGAAGGGTGACAAAATTGTGGCACATTTTCTTACATTCATCGGTCAAGAAGCCTACAGTTTATTAAAAACCTTGGCATATCCAGATAAGCCGATTTCACTCCCATATACAACTCTCAAGGAATTACTATTAAACCATGTGAAGTGCACCAGTTTTGAGTGTCGTGAGAGAGCAAAATTTCATAAGATGATTCGTCAGGATAACCAGAAGGTTAAAGACTTCATCCTTGAATTGCAAAGACAAGCTTCGAAATGCAATTTTGGTGATCAGCTTCATGTACAGTTGAGAGATCGGTTAATTGCTGGAATTGACATACCAGGTCTGGAAAAGGAGCTGTTAAGAATGCCGAACTGTTCTTTTCAAGATGCTAGAACTGCATGTATTAACTACGAAGCAGTGAATGAACTTGATATTCAATCGATGAAAATTTCTAATACTTTGCTTAGTCGTCATGATGAATTACAATCTCAAGGTCGATCAAATTTGCGTTCGTTTAATCGTGATTGCTATTCCCGTGGAAATATGAAAGGTGGTTTAACAAGGAACTGCAAAGCAAACAACAAAGGTGAGAATAAGTTTGGTAAATGCTTATCTTGTGGCAAATTTCATTTTCGTAATTCATGTGCATTTCGTAATGCTAAATGTTTTAAATGTGGCAAGATAGGACACATTCAGTCAGTGTGCAAAACTACTGTTCACTTTGCTTCAAGTATTACTAAGTCTGGTAACTTAGATCCCAACAATTCGGCTGTTCTTGATGATCATTTATCTTTATCCACTACTTCAAAAGGGAATGTTCATATTCAAAAGCGATTATATACATCCCTTGGTTCATTTCATGACTTTATTGTGGACACAGGTAGTATAGAGTCCATTATTTCATTCAAGAACTTGAAATCTTTAGATCCTAATGTTGTGGTAAAACCCACTGAGGTTTCAATACTGGGGATTACTGGACACAGACTACCTATACGAGGATGTTGTAAATTGCTAATAAGAGATGATAATTCTTCATACGTACCTTGTGAATTTTTAGTTAGTGAAACAGGACTGTCCATACTGGGTTTAAAAAAATCTGAAAAGGCTTAAAGTGGAATTGTCTCTACTAGTTTCTACAGAGAATTCTGATGCTTTACTCAAGGATTTGATAGCTGTGTGTGCTAAGTGTAGTGGAGGTATGAAAATTCAGCCCATTAAACTTCAAGTACAGGGTGATCCGGTCTTTCTTAAAAGACGAATAATTCCTTATGGTCTTCGAGAAGCAGTACATAAGTCACTGAATGATTTGTGTGCGAAAGGTATAATTGAACCAGTTCAGTCCTCAGCATGGGGTACTCCTATTGTTACGCCATTGAAATCGGATGGCAAGACCCCTAGAATATGCGGTGATTACAGATTGACACTGAACTCCCGTTTGTTGAAGCAAACATGCACGACGATGGAGGCTGAAGATATTCTAAATCGGCTTCATGGTTCTAAAGTGTTCTCGAAAGTTGACTTGAAATATGCTTATCTTCAAATTCCTTTAGATCAATCTTCATCTATCTTGACAACAATTAACACTCCTTTTGGTCTGTTCAAATACAACTTCCTTCCATTTGGTCTTAGTTGTTCTCCAGCCATATTTCAAGAGGTCATGAATAAGATAGTCAGCGATATTGAAGGTGTTGAAGTTTATCAAGATGATCTCATTGTTCATGGTGCTGATAAAGTAGTCCATGACCAGAGACTTATTGCTTTATTGCGTCGTTTAATTGAGAAGAACATTACAGTGAATCCAAATAAGTGTTCATTTAGTGTATCTAGTTTTGAATGCCTTGGATACCTAGTTGATGGTAATGGTTTTAGACCAGATATGAAACGACTAGCTCCACTGACAAATGCACCGTCTCCAAAAAACATCACAGAATTACGTTCACTAGTGGGTGCTCTTCAGTACTATTCTCGTTTTATTCCTAATTTTTCTTGTCGTGCCAATTGTTTATTTAATATTTTGACATCCAATTCATTCAAATGGGGTGAAGAACAAGAGTCATGCCTACGAAGTCTGCTAAAGTTTCTTCAAAGTGATGCTGTCCTTCGAACTTACTCACCCAGTGTACATTCTGTTCTTATTACTGATGCGTCACCTGTAGGTATTGGTGCAGTTTTGGAACAGGAAGGTAGGCCAGTTATATGTGTTTCACGCAAACTTTCTGTTGCTGAACAAGGTTATTCACAAACGCAGCGAGAAGCGTTAGCTGTGTTTTGGGCTGTTAAAAGACTTCATAAATATTTATTTGGAAAGAAGTTTACCATTGTTACTGATCATGAAGCCTTAAAGTTCATTTATCATCCTGACAAATCCTTAGCACGTTCCTCAGCTGCTATGGTTCAACGATGGAGTATTGCTTTGAGTGCTTATGACTATACGATTCAGCACAGGAGTGCAAAACAAATTCAACACGTTGATTACATTTCTCGACAACCATTACAAGATAGACCTGTTAATACTTCAGACTGCTTGTTAGTGCAACCTTTACCGGTGAGACGTCCAGATCTCATTAGAGAAACTCGTAGATACTTTGGATGTATACTCAGTGCTATACGGAAGGGTTGGAATGCTAATCTGAAACGTAGATTTCCTGTCTATTATTCAAAGCGGGACGAGTTATCTACTACTCCTGACGGTATTTTGTGTTTAAATGATCGTGTTGTTATTCCTCCTTCATTACGCAAACCTGTCCTTGATGATCTTCATAGTGGACATCTTGGTGTTGAGAAAATGAAGTCCTTAGCAAGACTCACATGTTGGTGGCCAGAGATAAATGCAGATATATGTCGTACAGCAAACAATTGTGAGAAATGTCATAAGCTAAAAAGTCTGCCTTCGAAGTGGACTCCATGGCCAGTATCGTCTGAGGCCTGGCAGAGAATTCATGCAGACTACTGTGGTCCATTTCTTGGCAAATACTATGCACTTGTAATTATTGATTCTTTTTCTAAGTGGCCTGAAGTTTTTTTCACAACTTCACCGAATTCTGACTTCACAATTCAAGCATTAAGGAAGGTGTTTAGTCGAGAAGGAGTTCCCATGGTGTTGGTGACTGATAATGGCTCTCATTTTGCTGCAGATGCAGTCACTAATTGGTTAAATGGTATAGGGTGCAGACATCTGTTTACGGCTCCCAGGCACCCTTGTTCCAATGGTCAGGCAGAAAATTTCGTAAGAACATTGAAAATTGCTATTGATTCTATTGCTGCTTCGACATTCAATGAACTGGAGAGGGGAGTAGATACATTTCTACTTCAATATAGAAATGCTAAGCATTCTGTGACGAAAGAGACTCCATCAAAGCTATTAAAAGGAAGAATTCTCCGTTCGAATATGAGGTGTTTGGAGTCTGCAGAAGTTACGTATTATCGTGGTAATGATCTTCGACCAGCCACGGGGATCGTAGTGAAGAATGTTGGAAAATCTATGGTGCGAATTCTGGATATCAATGACTTGACCATACATAACCGACATGTTGATCAAATACAATACCAGAATCCAGGTGAGTCTGTTCCAATTTCGGTTGTTAATTCTAATACTAATGAGTGCATTCTAGATAATACAGAGTCTACATCCAATACACCGTCGGACAGATGTAAGATGAACTTAAGAAGAGGACGAACAATCGATTGCAGACACTTACACTCCAATTCGAGCTGTGGCGGATGTGATGTTTAAATAAATCAATGACTTCTTAGTATTGATGACTGTTGTAATTTTGAATTCAAAATACAATACATTCGTTCGAGTTCATCTGATACTTCTTGGTTAAATTGCTTTATTCCTGGGATTACTAGTTCATACTACAATTCAAATACTTCTAATTATCATACTATACTATTTGTATTATCTTCACAGAAAATGTAAACTTTTATGATTTCCAAAGACTGTATTGAATCATTAAATATGAAAAATATATTTGTAAACTCTCAGCGAATGAATTTGAAGTAAATCCAACGTTTCACTTGTATTGAATCATGTCATTGTTCGAGACTGTTATATCAGTCATTAAGTTGTAATCACTCCCGTCCAAACAGAAAAGCATTAAAACGTTATTTACTTAATAAAATTGATACATTAAATAAGGACTTGACGGAGATAGAAATAAATATTGCTCGCAGAAAATTTGCAGTTGATGAATTAACTGAAGACCGTAAGTCCCAGTTTATGGATTACGTTACAAAAATAACTAAGGTAAGATCAGACAAGAAACACATCCAACTTCTCAAAAGCCTGGAAAGTCAACCTGTAGAAAATAAATTTCCGACTGAATTAAAGAGGCATGTACATAATTTTTCCGGTACTGAATTAAATAAAGAAAAACTTGAAGTATTACCACTAGGTCTGAAATTCTGTGATACACAAAACCGCGTAAATCTTATGGATACGGATATTCGATTTGAAAACCTAAATCATCAGACATCGGATCTAGTCCCACATCTGATCAGGAAATTGAATGTTTCAAATCAAACCTAGTTGACTGCTGCATTCAGTTTAAGAATAGTAGATATAACTACAAAAGCAATTTTTACTAAAAAAACACAAGTTTACCAATGAACCCATTAATGACGAGAATCTGACTATCACAAAACCTGATAAAGTAACAGGAACTGTCCTACTTAACAAAATAGACCACATTGACAGGATGAATAACATCTTGAATGATAACTAAAAATTTCAGAAATTTAATAACCAAAAAGATGTCAATGATAAGATGGAGAATGAACTAACCATATCTTTTGGAAAAGCTCAGAGATCAACAAATGGTTCCACCAATTATATATGAAACAATTAAGCCTATAGGTACCCATTTACCTAGGTTATACGACTGCCAAAGGTACATAAACCAGATATCTCATTGAGACCTATTTTGGACAAGTACGGTTTCGCATATCATACTGTAGCAAAGTGGTTTTGAAACCATTCCACAAACACTTATTAAAGCATAGTATTAGGGATGCATCCCAGTTCGTCTATAAAATTAAAAAAAAAATAACATGAAAGGTCAAACGATGATGCCCTTTGACGTAACGTCATTGTTCGCAAATTTCCCACCCAGAGAGACTGTAAAAAATATTTGTGAACAACGTGGAGAACAAGAAATAGAAACTAGAATCCCTGTGGAGATCATCAAAGAACTATTACCAAAAGGTACTATAGATGTACTTTTCAAATTCAATGGTAAAATCTACAGACAAATAGATGATGTGGCGATGGGTTCACTCCTAAGTCCCATATTAGCTGATATTTTCCTCTCTAAACTAGGAGACGGCCCACTGGCACAACAGATTAACAGGTTTTCATTTTACTGTCAATACATGGACGATACGCTTATCCTTTATAACTACCATACTGACTTGATAGAAACACTTGAGCGGTTCACTCGTTCAAAAAATTCATATGTGAGGAAGAAAATGGAGGTAGAATAGCCCTTCTAGATGTCCTACTTACAAGGAGAAAAGACCAGGCATTAGGAGGAAACATAAGCAAGAAAACTCATTGGACGGGCCAACATACACATTTTCCTAGTTTTGTTCCTCTACAATGTGAAAGAAACCTGATTAAGACACTGCATCATAGAATCAAGAGCAACAAAACCAGTCAGTTCACCGGAGATTTTATCCAAAGAAACCTGCAATTATTATTCTTTTGGGCATATTTCCTAGAAATTTTCCGATGTTCATAATTTGTGTAACCTATTTTCAATCTTAATCCTCCTATCTCATACACACGAACAAATACAGATGAAGACAACAAATGTAGCAGCACGCTCTGCATCAATAGGCCTCAACATACACGAAGGAAAAAGCAAGATTATCAAATACAACACGGAGAACACCAACCCAATCACACTTGATGACGAAACTCTGGAACATGTAGAAACGTTCACGTAGCTAGGACGCGTCATTGATGAACACGGAGGATTTGATGCAGATGTAAAAGCGAGGATTGACAAAGCAAGGACTGCATTTCTACAATTGAAGAACTCAAAACAACTGTCAACTAATTTCAAAGTCAGAATCTCCGATACGAACGTCAAGACAGTCCTAGTGTACGGAGCTGAAACGTGGAGAACTACTACATCCATCGTGAAGAAGGTACAAGTATTTCTAAACAGTTGTCTACGCAAAATACTCAACATTCACTGACCGGATACAATCAGTAACAGCGTTTTATGGGAGAGGACAAACCAGCTTCCAGCTGAAGAGGAAATTACGAGAAGACGTTTGAAATGGATTGGACATACACTGAGGAAATCACCAAACTGCATCACGAGGCAAATGTGTAAGATACTGTAAAGACTGACTAAATTGAAGACTCTTCCAAGTAGACTGTAACCAGGAAGGAGATAGGAGTGATCTGAAGCTGTAAATCTTATATGTTTATCGCAACAAGTGTATTGGAAAACCATCCAAACAACTCCGAAAAATGTTTATCATGTCATTCCGTACTACCAGAATGAACTATATTATCCTCTTCTTAAGACGTTATTTTTTTAAATTTAATAGTAACCTGATTCATATCAGTCTGAATTACTGAATGTGAGGTAGTCAATCTGAAGTGTGAAGATCTGTGCCCATACATTCCGAACAGAGCACCAAAACCAGTCAGTTCACCGGAGATTTTATCCAAAGAAACCTGCAGTTATCATTCTTTTGGGTATATTTTCTAGATATTTTCCAATTTTCGTAATTTGTGTACCTTACTTTCGATCTCTTCATCGATAGAACTATGATGAGAAAAACCAGTATTAGAAATTATGTAGTAACTGTACAATATTTTAGTTGTTTTGCCATCTGCTTGTAACGTTGTAACAGTGAAGTGGCTGACCTAGAGAACCCAACTGGAACTTATATCCCCTATCAACCACATTATCTAGCTTCTTTTTATTAACCTGATTCAGTTCACATCAGATAAATCTACATTTCAAAAATTATGAGTTTCCTATCTTCTTAGATGTATATGTTAAACACCCAAACTATCAATGACATTTAGTCAAAAAGTAATGAGATTGTTCAGTTTGGAACTTTCAAATAAGTTGGTAAACAGATGGATGTGAATAGCCAATAGTCTACCAGACATTGACTGATAAACAGAAGGATAAGATGCATGAGTAAGAAGGAAATATCAATAAAACTTTCTTCGTTTTTAGAGGAAATGTATATGTCCTAATAATGGGGATTGTATGGTAAGATCAATAACTAACGGTCAACCATATTTCGCCCTCTAAATGCTAAATGTAGCTTGGATACTAGACTCTCTTAATGTACTAACTAGTGGTCGAGGAGAAGTAGTTGAGTGCGTTGATTACTTTCCGTGTGTTCGAAGTCCCATCAGCCTTGGTAGGTTGATATCTGATGGAACCTTTGAACAGATTAGAAAACTCCTCCAGATCCTCACCGAATTGCATCACTTGTGATGTAAACGAGACGTACGTTTGTCAACCAAAGGGTGAGTATACTGGAAAACAGTTCTCTCTGTAGCACGTTATAAATGTGATACATGGTCTTTGAAAGTACTATACATGTGTAAGGTACAGGTTTTTGATTTAAGATATCTTCGAGACATTGCTCGCTTTTCGTGGAACAACCGAGTGAATAATGCTGTGGTTAGCAATAGGGTACTAGTCAAAGGTGCTAAATCCGTCGATGATATGGTGGATCCTCATGAACTGAAATGCTCGAGGCATACATTACGCTCTCCTAATCTTCGTCTACCTCGAAGTACAACTTCAACTAGTGAAAAAGCAGGTTGGAAGAAAGTTAGGGATGGTTAAACTAGGACGTAGCATCAGCCCGTGAAGTCACTAACTGTTGATCTGAGGTATGTTTGAAGATGCAGGCTATATGGTTGAGGTTTGAGTAATAACGAAGATTGGTGATCGGAGTGATTGAGTGACATTTCTCAGAATTGTTCGCAGTGGTACAGATGGATCCACTTTCTATCTTACTCTAGATCTCGACTCCCAGTATTCTTTCACACGTACATTTTCATTTTTCCTTATCAATTCGTATTCTCATTGTGTATATTTTTTATTTCGTTTATTGATAAACTATTTCGACTCGTTCTTTATTAGTTCTGTTGATTTTATCTGACCACTGGTATGTGGTACAGCAATATGAACTATTACACCTTTTTAAAATGTTCTGCTTTTTTTATGACTGACTGGCAATGACTAATGATTATCTTCAATCACACAACATTCTAGATTATACATTACATTTCACGAAGTATACATTGATATTCCTAGAAATAATAATTTCAACATCCTAGGTACTACTAGTTAATGAATGACACATTTATCTTTCGGAAATCGATTACTGCAAGCAGTTTTAAAAGTCAGTGAATCTGTGTTTGGTAAGTCAGATGAGGTTTGTTCAATAGCATTTCAAGCTATGGTAGTCGACTACAGGGAGCTTTAACAAATTTTAAACTTTTGTGATGGTCAGCATTATGGAAGCTACAAGTGCTATTGAAATATGTTTCACAATAGTAATAACGTGCTCTGATGTCAGAAAAAAATCTCGAAACTCTCCTTGTTTTTAGAATTCTGTGATATATAACAAGTGCACATGGGTGAACTGTGCATTTTGATTGTGATCTGAGAATTCACATGGTCAAGTTTCATCTACTGGATATATTTACATTCAAAAAGTTACTGGATTGTCTAGGTGAACTTGAAAATATAACATCACATGTAAAACGCTATTGCAATATTGTGATGTTAACAATAATTACTGATTAATGAGTACTTGATTACGTTCTCATCACGAACTCCAAATATAAAACGTTCATTTTTGCTCATGTGGTTCTTCCTGTCTTAAATTACACTAACTCAGGAATTCTTAGTTCGTACATGAATTCGAATACTTCCGTAGCATCATTTTATATGTTAAGCACATATACTTTATTCTAACTTCTGGCCAAGCCAATTAGCCTGTCCCTTATGAATTATATTTTAATCTTGTTAATTATTCACTTATTAACCTGACTACTTTTTTATATGAGCGTATGTGTATACACACTTCGTATCTTATTCATCATATATCTGTCGTTCATTTTTGTCTGACTATAAATGTTGATTAACCATTGCTTAAAATGAGTTGACTTTCCCGCCATCTCCAATACGTGTCATGTATGCTTCGCTCGCTAACATTTGCTCATGTGCTTATAACCTTCTGGACCGCACTATTTATCAATAAAAATGTAGTTGCCGCTTCCCTTTGCCTTCTGATATTATGCAAAATTAAGACTGGTATTATAACGGTTATTGAGTTAAACTATGAACGAAGAACGGCAATACACTTCTAATTATCACCTGAATAAGGAACTATTACAACCAAATCACAGCTTTTGGATATCAGTAGATAACTCGAAGTTTCAAATCGTTTTAATAAAGAAACAAATCAATGTAAAACAACATTTGTTGAGGAGTGTATTACAAATCTATGCATTTTGCAGTTCATTTGAGAATAATTTACGCCTATTTACGTATTTGATCCAGAACAAATTTGTCAATTTTCTCATCTAGTATGGCCAAAACTTTTGTTTTGACTTGTTGATATGCTGGAGTCTTTTTAATTAATACCAAATCTTTTTTATCTTGCTCTGATAGACCTGCATTACCTAGAAAACATGTTTCAGTGTAGACAAACAAAGAAAACAAACAATTAGAGATGAACAAACAAGTAGAATATTCACAACAGTCATTATCAATAGTCGAATTCTGACAATGTCTAGTCGATTGTGCTGAGGAATAGGATTGGGTGCCGAGGAGTTTTGTGCTTAATTGAATGTGTATTCTGGAAGCTGAATAGTCTCCGTATAAAGAACCACTCATTGTTTTCTATGGACAGCAACATACAATTAGTATTTTACGCCAACAGTTCCACTTCTAATAGTTTCTGTACACTCGAATACATAAGAGTTTATATATAATACATTTATAATTTTGCTTATAGGAGGAATGAGATTGC